AGTTAGGGTTGGCTAGATCAAAGGCTCGAAGTGTCCAATTTGATTGGAAAAAGTATCATAATTCAAATTAGAGATTGAGGATTGGAATGGACATAAAAGATCTGCTAAAACAAGAACCAAAAAAACTCAAACGGTTTAATAATACCTGTCTGTATAATTAGCTAGGGTTGACTAGATCAAATGTCCGGAGTGTCCCATTTGATTTGAAAAAGTATGAGCATTCAAATTAGAGATCGAGGATTCGAATGGACAGAAAAGATCTGCTAAAACAAGAACGAAAAAAACTAAACCGATTCAACAATACCTGTCCGTACTGTGAGCTAGGGTTGGCCGAATAAAAGGATAGAAGTGGCCAATATGATTGGAAAAAGTATGAGAAATTGACAATTTGAAGCGACCCAAAAGATCCGCAAAAACATGAATCTAAAAAACTGAACCGATTCAATCACACTTGTCTGTTCCATGAGCTAGGGTTGGCTAGCTGAAAGGCAAGGGGCGTCCAATTTGATTTGAAAAAGTATGAGCATTCAAATTAGAGATTGAGGATTCTTATGGACAGAAAAGATCTACTAAAACAAGAACGAAAAAAACTGAACCGATTCAACAATACATGTTTGTACTGTGAGCTAGGGTTGGCCGAATAAAAGGCTAGAAGTGGCCAATTTGATTGGAAAAAGTATGAGAAATTGACGATTTGAAACGACCCAAAAGATCCGCAAAAACATGAATCTAAAAAACCGATCCGATTTAATCACACCTATCTGTTCCGTGAGCTAGGGTTGGCTAGATCAAAGGCAAGGAGTGTCCAATTTGATAGGAAAAAGTTTGAGAATTCAAGTTAGAGATTGAGGATTCTAATGGACACAAAAGATTTGCAAAAACAAGAATCAAAAAACTGAACCGTTTCAACAACACCTGTCATTTCCATGAGCTAGGGTTGGCTAGATCAAAGGCACGAAGTGACCAATTTGATTGGAAAAAATATCAGAATTCAAATTAGAGATTGAGGATCGGAATGGACATAAAAGATATGCTAAAACAAGAACCAAAAAAACTCAAACGGTTTAATAATACCTGTCTGTATAATTAGCTAGGGTTGACTAGATCAAATGTCCGGAGTGTCCCATTTGATTTGAAAAAGTATGAGCATTCAAATTAGAGATCGAGGATTCGAATGGACAGAAAAGATCTGCTAAAACAAGAACGAAAAAAACTGAACCGATTCAACAATACCTGTCTGTACTGTGAGCTAGGGTTGGCCGAATAAAAGGCTAGAACTGGCCAATTTGATTGGAAAAAGTATGAGAAATTGACGATTTGAAACGACCCAAAAGATCCGCAAAAACATGAATCTAAAAAAACCGATCCGATTTAATCACACCTATCTGTTCCGTGAGCTAGGGTTGGCTAGATCAAAGGCAAGGAGTGTCCAATTTGATTGGAAAAAGTTTGAGAATTCAAGTTAGAGATTGAGGAGTCTAATGGACACAAAAGATTTGCAAAAACAAGAATCAAAAAACTGAACCGTTTCAACAACACCTGTCATTTCCATGAGCTAGGGTTGGCTAGATCAAAGGCACGAAGTGACCAATTTGATTGGAAAAAGTATCAGAATTCAAATTAGAGATTGAGGATCGGAATGGACATAAAAGATCTGCTAAAACAAGAACCAAAAAAACTCAAACGATTCAATAATACTTGTCTGTATAATCAGATAGGGTTGGCTAGATCAAATGTCAGGGGTGTCCAATTTGATTGGAAAAAGTATTAGCATTCAAATTAGAGATTGAGGATTCGAATGGACAGAAAAGATATGCAAAAACAAGAATAAAAAAAACTGAACCGATTCAACAACACCTGTCTGTTCCATGAGTTAGGGTTGGCTAGATCAAAGGCTCGAAGTGTCCAATTTGATTGGAAAAAGTATCATAATTCAAATTAAAGATTGAGGATTGGAATGGACATAAAAGATCTGCTAAAACAAGAACCAAAAAAACTCAAACGGTTTAATAATACCTGTCTGTATAATTAGCTAGGGTTGACTAGATCAAATGTCCGGAGTGTCCCATTTGATTTGAAAAAGTATGAGCATTCAAATTAGAGATCGAGGATTCGAATGGACAGAAAAGATCTGCTAAAACAAGAACGAAAAAAACTGAACCGATTCAACAATACATGTTTGTACTGTGAGCTAGGGTTGGCCGAATAAAAGGCTAGAAGTGGCCAATTTGATTGGAAAAAGTATGAGAAATTGACGATTTGAAACGACCCAAAAGATCCGCAAAAACATGAATCTAAAAAACCGATCCGATTTAATCACACCTATCTGTTCCATGAGCTAGGGTTGGCTAGATCAAAGGCAAGGAGTGTCCAATTTGATTGGAAAAAGTTTGAGAATTCAAGTTAGAGATTGAGGATTCTAATGGACACAAAAGATTTGCAAAAACAAGAATAAAAAAACTGAACTGTTTCAACAACACCTGTCATGTCCATGAGCTAGGGTTGGCTAGATCAAATGCACGAAGTGACCAATTTGATTGGAAAAAGTATCAGAATTCAAATTAGAGATTGAGGATCGGACTGGACATAAAAGATCTGCTAAAACAAGAACCAAAAAAACTCAAACGATTCAATAATACTTGTCTGTATAATTAGCTAGGGTTGGCTAGATCAAATGTCAAGGGTGTCCAATTTGACTGGAAAAAGTATGAGCATTCAAATTAGAGATTGAGGATTCTAATGGACACAAAAGATCTGCAAAAACAAGAATAAAAAAAACTGAACCGATTCAACAACACCTGTCTGTTCCATGAGTTAGGCTTGGCTAGATCAAAGGCTCGAAGTGTCCAATTTGATTGGAAAAAGTATCATAATTCAAATTAGAGATTGAGGATTGGAATGGACATAAAAGATCTGCTAAAACAAGAACCAAAAAAACTCAAACGGTTTAATAATACCTGTTTGTATAATTTGCTAGGGTTGACTAGATCAAATGCCCGGAGTGTCCAATTTGATTGGAAAAAGTATGAGCATTAAAATTAGAGATTGAGAATTTGAATGGACAGAAAAGATCTGCTAAAACAAGAACGAAAAAAACTGAACCGATTCAACAATACCTGTTTGTACTGTGAGCTAGGGTTGGCCGAATAAAAGGCTAGAAGTGGCCAATTTGATTGGAAAAAGTATGAGAAATTGACGATTCCAATCAACCCAAAAGAACCGCAAAAACATAAATCTGAAAAACTGAACCAACTGTTGAGACCCCAAAAATCCCTGGTTGGGCCCGAATAAATTCCTGGCCCAAAGTGACACATTATTTAGAAAAGCCCCAATTTGGAGCATGCAAAGATCCGCCATGCACGAATCACACTTCGCGTGCAATGCCAAATAAATAATCCATCGTGCTAGGAATCGAGATTAAGGTTATAAAATGCGTTAGTTCTACAAATTCATGCTAATTATCTCGTCAAGCATCATAATTAAAAAACATGCCAAGCAACATGCCATGCCAAATGGGAAATTGTTATGTCACACCCAACCACGCAACGTACAAGCCTAAGTGGGCCCAAGCCACTCAAAATACCCAGGGCTTACTTGAGTGGGTTCTGTAATCTATACTCGTGCAGGAATCCCCGAAAGAAACTACACAAGTGGCTAAACATTTAACCGAAGACAAAGAACTTCAAACCGAAGAGAATCTGTGTGACACAATAGTTGAAGCAAACGAAAAAATTAACTGAACTTTCAAATGACGAGGTCAAATATACAATTGGACTACCCCATCATATTTTTTTCCTGCAGTTATCTATATATTAGAGAAAGTACTAACAAGGGGTATATTAGCAGATCAAGGAGGGTAAGGAACTTCTAAAGGATTCTGAGGCAGACTCTGTCAGAGAAGAGAGCCAACAAAAAAAAAAAAAAAAAAAAAAAAAGCAATAGAAGAGTATCAAGTAGAGAGAGACCAATGGAAGTTCTGTGATCAGAACAAGCGAAAATCGGGACGAGGTCAGTGAATAGAAAACAAACGTTCTTAAATGCCATTTTAACATAAATCCTCGTAACCTATAATGTTGAATATTTCATCTATAATTCAGTTGCCTGAGGAGAAAGATACAACAGCTAGCAAAGAAGTGCAAACAGAAGAAGAAGAGCACGAAAATGCTGAAGAAGTAAAAACATATGAAAGACAGGAGAAAATGAACACAAAAATGCAGAGCCAGGCTATGATTCTCCCGTCATTGTAGAAGCCTCTAGAGATGCTGATGCTAAGATTTCACATAAGAAATCCCGTAATATCCTTTCGGGTATCAAGCATTCAATATCCAAGGTGAAGAAAGCCATTACCGGCAAGTCTTCTCATTCAAAGACACAATCAGAAAAATAAATAAATAAAAATCAAAACCAAGTTGGTTCCGACTGTTGAAGAATTGGATGAATACAGGTTTTATGTGGGTGTGCTTGTTCTAAGAGGTTTGAGTGTGGTATGTGTGCTTGTGCAGCTTGAATAAGTTCAATATTCTTTATTTGTATAAAGTGAGTTAAAGAATTGCCTGATTGTAAATTTGTAATCTTTTTGCCAATTTCTAGTGCATTCTGTTTAGGCATATATACAAGAAAATGGAGTGTACAGAGCCATTGTGTTCACACTGTGATTATTTGAGTGATATTTTATTTTATTTTTCTAAATTCTAATATCTAAATCTCAAAAAAGAAAATATACCAAGAGATACCATTACTGAAGTTACCTATAAGTTACCAATATGCACATGAATAATAAAAATAAACTAGCTAGCTAGCTAGCTAGGTACTCAATGTATGGTGTGAACCAAACAGTTTGAGTACTGAATAGGCTAGTACGAGGGTGATCATTCGGAACAATAAAACGCTGGATGCTCTTGTTTTTCAAGGAAAACACCCCAAAGTCGCGTCCCATCCACTGTGATGCTAAACAAGGATTATCGAAAGCAAAACAAATGCAATTTCCTTCAACTCTCTTCTTATAATCGCCATAACTGAGACTGAGGCTTGTAGCAGCGATGAGCTTGTTGCTTGCCTTGCTCAGGAACAATATCCCTATCACCGCCGAGGTCTTCAACTTCTACCCACTCAGGACCATTGTTGTTACCTTCAAGCTTGAACACTTGAAATCCTTTAGTTTGAGGTGGAATGACATAATTGTGACCTAAGAGGGACTGGGGAATTATTGGATCCTTTTCATAAGCAAAACTAGTGTTATGGAGAATCATAAACAGCTCCTTTGTTGTAGGATCTTTTGCTAAGCGAGGGCTTAACTTTTCGGTAACATACACAACGCCACCGGTAGTGTTAGAGGACAGGGAACGTACTGGCCTTGGATGAAGCATAACCAACTTTTGAGGTGGCCCGCTGTACATATTACCAGGAGGCCCGGTATTGGCATGGCCTTCAGCATGTAACATTTGGAGATCGTACACGATCAAAAACTGTGCTGCATCCCGATTTGCAGCATATCATTTCCCATCAATTATTTCTATATCCAGAGTGACGGATCCAGGATTCTCGGTCCAAGAGGTCATAGGATAGAAGTGTTGAAATTTTTTTTAAATATAAAAAAAAAAAAAAAAAAAAAAAAAAAACACTAAAAAAAATAAAAAATATATAAAATTTAATTATCCAATTTAAATTAGGATATGAATACGTATACGAATATTAAAATAATATATTTATTAAATTTTTATAAATTATTATTGTAATAATATGTTAATAATGCTAACTCTTACCACCATTTGTATACCACATCCTTATACCATCTTATGTGGCAGTTGAGGTGGACAACCACATCAATTAAAATTGAATAATGCTACTCTTACCACATTTGTATACCACATTCTCATACCACCTTATGTGGCAGCTGAGGTGGCCACATCAATTAAAATGATTTAATATTTTCTTTTCTTTTATGGTTTATTTCAGTATTTGTTTTTCTAATTGCCTTAATTAAAATGCACTTCATTGATTTAATTGATGTGACATATAAAATGGACATGCCACATCATGTGGTATAGAAATGTGGGATAAAAATGTGGTAAGTGTAGCATTACTCATTAAAATTAGAGTAATGCTACACTTACCATATTTTTATCTCATATTTCTATACCACATGATGTGGCATGTCCATATTATATATCATATCAATTAAATCAATGAAGTGTATTTTAATTAAGACAATTAGAAAAACAAATACTGGAATAGATCACATAAATAATTTTAATAATAATGTTACTCTTACCACATTTGTATACCACATCCTTATATCATCTTATGTGGCAGCTGAGGTGGACAACCACATCAATTAAAATTATTTATGTGATCTATTCAAGTATTTGTTTTTCTAATTGTCTTAATTAAAATACACTTCATTGATTTAATTGATGTGATATATAATATGGACATGTCACATCATATGGTATAGAAATATGGGATAAAAATGTGGTAAGTGTAGCATTACTCTAGTTACATATATACAAATTTATAAATAAACCCAATCCTAGACATGTATTTATAAAAAAACCCAAGCACTATTTAAACATAGAAACACACCCAAAATCAACCCCAAAGTCAACTTTTTGGGTGTGTTTATAAATGAGTTTTGAGTGTGTGTAATGATGGGTTTTGGGTGTGTTTATAAAGTGTTTTGGGTGTTGGGTTTTTTTATAATTTCAACCTTCATTTTGGGTGTTTTAGTGAAACTCCCATAAATATATCACTGTGTATAGACTAAAAGATTTTATTAAAAAACATTTGGGCCAAACTTTTTAAAAAGACCTACACGTTATTAATAAAAATTTGGGCCAGACTTATACATGGCCCAGACTTTTAAAAAAAATCTACAACTAGTGAAACGGTGAGTTTCAACTAAAATGAGGCGTAAGCAAATCACCAACGTCATCTTCACGACATCATCTTCTTCGCTGCCTCTGCAACCCAAAAAAAATTCAGGTCGTGGTGCTGCCAGAGCAGAGCAGTTGCGTCTGGAAGAAGTTTAGAGAGCAGCGCAAGGCAAGCCCACAGAGGACTTTCATCGAGCACCTTGCACACAAGGGGTCGCTCAGATAACGGCCAAGGGGTCACTGGTGGAGTCCACGGCTAGATTTCCGGCATCCCAAGGGGTCGTGTGACCCCTCTTGTCCCAATGTGCGTCCGCCACTTAGCGTGTACCCTCTAGCACTGGCTCAATGAGGGTCCATGATTTATCTGTTGGTCTACAAAGGGCCAAATAAAGGCCTTCCCCACAAAGGCCAGCCACAAGACATGATGAGTTTATTATCTGATGACGATGATGATCATCATCTGATTTTGACCACGAGGACGTCGTTAGCAACGGCAATGAAGAGGCTACCACTTTCTTGAAAAAGAAAGCTCTAGTGCCGTACATGTATGGAATGGTGGATTGTGATGGCAGCATGACCCGAACACCTGAAATTGGGTTCAAGAAGAAGTTGAGGGTAGTATAAGGGTACTTGAGATGATAATCTTGCAAGGCGTGCAAGCAGAATGACCACGGATACAAAAAACCCTCGGGACGCCAAAATTCACTATCAACCATAATCAACCACCCCTCGATGGAACCAACACAATCTCGCCTGCTTATATAATCGTTAGAGCCAAACGACGACGACTTGTGAGTTTTGTTGTCACTTAGACTCAAGAAGTAATGATCTTTGAGAGAGAACGGGTGTGAACGGAGCATGAGCCAGGGAATCTCAAGTTGAGGAACGGGAGGGCAACGCTTAACGGTCTGGCGGCTCTCCAAGAACGGCATACTGCCCCATAGCGGAGATAGTCTGGGAGGTATAGCCGTTGCAGAATCAATTGCATGATTTCTTCTGGGAGTTCATCAGACCACCTGCTTGTAATAGTGGTACTGATCACTGCTTGAATTGCTCTTCTTATCCTCATCATCACCATTGTGATCTTGTGGCGACTAAAATGTCGGGGGAGAGAAAGCAACAACTTTCTCAACAGGCGGTAGTATGTGAATGTGGACTGAAAAATTCCAAAACCAACTTGTGTCCATTTCAACCTTGTGTTCCTAGAAACTTTTCCAATCGGCATGTTTTCCTGCATGCATATGTAGGACAACCAAGTAGCCACCAAACTCGTCTCAAGACGGAGGGGCTAGGGGGATGTGCAAGGAGGAAGGAGGGGAGGGAAGAGGAGGAAGAGAGGGATGGAGGGCAGCGACCCTTTGGGGACGACGGCTAAAACTTTTCTCTCTTAAGGTTTTCTCACTTAGGGGGTTTATTTTTTTAGTTTTTTTTTTTTTTTTTTTTTTTTTTTTTTTTTGGTGGGGGATGTGGTTCTTCAGAGAGTTTGTATTCGAAAAGCCCAAATTGAAATAGTTATAAAGTTTCAAACGACTACATAAACATTTAAACCAAATCATGCGTACCATGCAGCGAAGGAAAAATAAAGCTGCATATATATGTCTGTCTAAACCAAAAAATAATAAATAAAAAGAAGAGAGGAATATTTTAATTATTATTTACTTAGTGAATAATTAATATTTTAATATTAATATTTTTTTTAATTCAAAAATATGTGAATTTTCTATGTATTATTGAAAATTTTGTAAAAAAACATGAAAAATAAGTACATACGTGTACAATACGAGTATTAAACGTGAAAATGCTAAATTCTTTATATGGGTAATAACTCTGAAAAAGTAAAAACTCAAAGAATAAAAAGTCAAAAGAATATAATAGAGACTCAGGTAATGACTTAATAATAATGGATAATGTTCTAAACTAGTATTATCGATAAACAAATCGGGGAAAATAAACTTTTTTTTTAAAGTCACATTATCTATGTAAAGAGTATAGGCACGCAGCAGTACTATTTATATATATATATATATATTTTAAAGTCAAGCTGCCCCGGCTATACGCTTTTTATAAAATAAAATAAAAAATAAAAATCAGAGTATAACCACACGGCGAGACTATTTATAAAATAAAAAAAGACTTGCCAAGCGCTTAGCGCATGTGTTTGCGAAATGTGTATAGCCGCGTGGCTATACTCTACAAATAGAATACTTCAAACATATAGCCACGCGGACATACTCTATAAAAGCATACCCTATTGGCTATACCTATTGAATAGCATAGATAAAATTTCCCTTTTTTAATTGAATAATGCTACTATTATCACATTTGCATACCACATTCTCATACCACCTTATATGGCAGAAGGTCACGATGTGGGCAATCGTTAAGATACACAAGATAGTTCCACTTTCAAATTTTCAAACCTTGTAATTTTTTGGTATTTAAAAAAAAATTCAATTTTTTTTCGTTTTTTTATTGCACAAAAATTGTCTGTCGTTGGATTGCTGGAAAAAATCTTATCGGAGAGCCCAGCACGCGCCACGTGGAAGAGAGCCATTGACAGAACTGTAGCAGAGTGTTCAAATTTTTTTTAACGTTGGAGCGTGTAGCACGCACCAATGTTAAAAAAAGTTGAACACCAGGGCTAACATCAACACCAAAACTCGGGCTGGCAAGCGGGCCAGCCCAGGTTGCTAGGTCCAAATGCTCTAAGTACTGCTCGTGTGTTTAGCGGAAGACAGACCCAAGGAGATCGGTAGGTTTCCTCTCTTATTATTATTTATTATTTATTGGTTTAGACAGACATATATATGCAACTTTATTTTTCCTTCGCTGCATGGTACGCATGAATTGGTTTAAATCTTTATGTAGTCATTTCAAACTTTATAACTATTTCAGTTTGGTGTTTCGATACTCTTCGAAGAACAATCTTGTTGGCTGCGCAAATCTCACGGCCTGGTGCTCCGAGCCGAGGGGATGTGCGTTAACACGTGACGTCCTTCTTTTGGATGCGGTGCAGTTGTGTGCGGGCATGCCAGCACGGTCTACCGTGCATCGAGATGGTGATGAGGTTTGGGTAGAAGATGGTTAAATGATGCGCCTGTTTTGAGTTCGACTCCTAATCAAACGATTGTGGCCAAGAGAGGAACTGATCTCAGCCGTCAAGTTCACGGCCTGAGCTACAAGGCCGTTTAGTGGTGGTGTCGGTGGCGGTTTTAGGCGGTGCTCCGGCGCGTTGCTCAGAGAGCGATGGTCGTATGATATATGGGGTGAATGAGATGATAACAGAGATGGTGCTCCGGCGCCTTGAAAATCAAGGGTCGTATGATATATTGATGAATGGATTTTCCTTACAATCTACCACTACTCCTAGGAAAGCAAATAAAGATATTGAAAGTGCATTACAGGAAAATATAATTTACTCCGTGAGAGGCTTTTGGTTTGATGTTTGAACGCCTTGAATGTAGTCTTGAGCTTAGTATTTATAGGGGGAGTCTTGGAGGGACAATCGAGGCTAAAAAGATCTACGTGGTGGAGCCTGATCGGGGCAAATAGGTAGTCAAGTCGGCATTTGGGATCGTGAAGCATGGTGGTGTGACCCCCTATAAATCCCGGTAAATCTCGGTCACCGCCCTGATCGTGGGTTCTGCCCCCTTGGCCGTGGGAACGCATTTAATGCCCTGGTCTAGTGGTCGGTGATCTGACCTTAAATTGTAAGAATGGTTGTGAGAATTTTTGCGCCAAACCACTCTGATTTCCATCACCAAATACTGACTTCAGTCACTTCCCTTCTTCCCTCGTGCATTAAATGCTTCTTGCGACTAGTGGGTTTGCTGCGATAGTCAGAGGCATTACTTCATTAAATGGGGCATGGGACCCTAATGCCACGTGGCGATTTAATCACAGTATCTTCGGCCGTGCCTTTTATGGCCTTCGGCTTCGGCCTATAACATCGCGGTCGCGAGGCCGAGAGGATTCTACCTTTGCAACTTTTCTTTTGTTTTCAGAAAGGCGAAATGCCTAATGAAACGGTAGGTGATAGGGCCGAGAGGAAGTCCCTTCAGTCAGTTTATGACCGTGATTTATTAAGCACAAACATTGCCCCCACATCCCTGGATTCTTCGGTCACAGCCTGGGCAGAGGCCGAATGGATTCCAAGGGATGGACCCTTTGCATTCCTTCTGAAGTGATTGACAGTTGGCGCTTTAAATGCGTAGGTCGGTCGGCGCATTTAATGCGCAAGCACGTCTTGCAAGCCATTTGCCCAGACTTGCGCGAGCTGTCGTTTCATCTCGTCAAATGAAACAACGGCTTCTGGGCTTCCGACACGTCATCGCGCACTCGAACACGTTGTCAGACCGTTACGTCTCTCTCAAGAGCCATGCCCTTTCGTTTCGAATTCTAGCGCCAATATAAAACCCAAACTTCTTCATTCTCCTTTACGCTTTCAGAATCCTCAAACGCCCAAACTCTGCCAAACTATTTCCTCAATCTATCAACCCTTTTAAAACTCCAAATCTCAGCACTCCATCTCGTTCTGCCCAGTTATCCACTCGTTAGTAACCAACGATTTTAGTCGTTTCTTCTGCATTTCTTAGAGAACTCACGAACTCTTTGCCCCTTTTTCTGAGTGCTCGGCTCCCTGGTGTTCTTCGTGTTCATCACCCTTTCTTCGACTTTTTCCTTTAACACACCCTACTTCAATATGTTTCAATGGCCTCCAACACCTCTACATTTGTTGAAACTCGGTCCCAAGTCTTCCAGACTAAGTTTGAAGACATTTGCCGAGAAATCCAGGGCTCAGTCCTACCCAACATCGTCACGCCCTAGACTAATGATGACGGCGCTGCCACCGATTCCTGCGTCCTCGGCCCCTCTGTAGATGGCGGGATGCCAGAGGGGCTGGTGGCTCATTTAAAGAACAATCTGGTGGACTTCTCGGCCTTTGACTGGGGGGACTTCCAAGATTGGAATGTCGCCAGGCCGCAGCCCCAATGGCCAACCTTGACCCCGGACTGGGAAAAATGGCTGCCGAGGATGGAGCACTTATTCGGCCAGCAATGGAAGGATCAAGGCATCTACCACTTGATCAAGCTGTTCGATCGGCCACTCGTCATGGACTGGTCGCTCTTGGCCGCGGCCCTATGCTTCTGGTCGTCGGCCACAAATACTATGAACCTCCGGTTTGGCATGATGACGCCGACCGTTCTAGACATGGCCGCCCTATTCGGCCTCTCCCCTCTTGGCGTGGAAGTAAACGACGCTCTGATCGCCCCTGAGGCTGAAGGGAGTTTTAAGGCCGCATGGCCTATGGTCGCCAAGCTTGCTTGGAGTAAGGCGAAGAACATGCTCAACTACTCCAACTTCTACAGCAACTTCAGCGTGGAGGACAGCGCCGATGATGATTCCATCGCTCCCTTGGGCGAGGTTGAGCATGCCGCGTTCTTGCTGTACTGGCTATGCAAGTTCGTGTTTTGCACCCAAGCGAACAAGTCACCCTGGAGTTCGCCCATCTGGCCGACTATCTCGCGCAGGGCGGAAGGCTGGCGCTCGGCCCATTCCTCCTTGGTCATATCTACCGTCCGCTTCACGACATCGTCACGGATGGGATGAAGCCGAAGCACGGTGGTCCACTATGGGCATTCCAGTTCTAGCTGCAAGCTTACTTCCCATATCTGAGGGGGGCGGTCAATATTGCCGACACCGAGCCGTCAGCCAACGCATTCGCCCGGGGCCCTAGGAAGCATAACACCTCGACTTTCTGCTACAAATTTTTCTATGGCTTGGTCGAGAGGACCGGGTTGCAGTTCCAGGTGTGCCTTGCTCGGCCGTATCTTTTGTTCCTAGCGCATGACCTCTCCGTGATTCCTGACGACGAAACGGAGAACAATCTGAGGGAGATCTGGGGCTCCTTCCTGGTCGCGCGCGACCTTCACTGCGGCCTGTCCAAGGCTGGGGCAGAGGTTTATCTGCCGAACTTCGTGGTGCGGCAATTCGGCCTGATCCAGACGACACCGCTTCCCCCGTTGTCAACCAACCGGCTCTCATCTTGGAGGGCCGACGTCGCCCAGCAGTACGGCGTGGCTGGCATTTCCTTCCAACTTCAAAAGGGGATGACCTTCCTCACTCTAACGCCTTGGTTGCGTCGTAATGCGTATGACGAGGATGGAAGAGTCTGGTATGAGGAGTGCATCACAGCCAGATTCATTCGGCCTGTTGAAGAGGCCGTGAGGGGGGCTTTGAAGAATGCAGATTAGGACCCCCTCCTTCCTAAGGCTGGCAAGAGGAAGAAGACCTCGGTCGTGCTTTCTCGACCGAGTACGCCCGCTGCGGCCATACCCAAGGTGGCGGCCCCTCCTTTGGCAAGAGCAGCGATCGTGACTTCAACCGCAGCCCCAACCTCTAGAGCGCCGGCTGTGGTGGGGGAGCGAAAAACTTTGGCGCATAGGACCGTGCCATCCGCCCTGCCGGCTCGACCGATCGCTGCCGTTGGTAAGCCCTTTTTCTTTTATGTTTTTCCGTCGACCTCTCTAAGCCACCTTTGAGTCCGCGCCGACCGAAAGTGTTGCGGTTAAGACGGCGGTGTTAGAGCGGCCGAGAAAAAGAGTCCTCCTTATTCTTCGGAGGGCGAGGACGAGGAAGAAGTCCCTCTTGTGATCGTGAGTGAAGCCCCTCTCGTGACCGTAAGTACTTCTCCTTGATTTCTTTTTACCCCCTTTTTTTCAGGCCACGCCCTCCCCCTCTTTATCCATTCTGATAATCTGGTCCTTTCTTTAGGGCGAGGCAGTGGCCGAGGAGTTGACCGAGGAGGTGGCCGCCGCCAAGGTGGCGGTTGAAGGAGCGGCCACTGCCGAGGTGGCAGAAATGCTGGATGCCGAGGCAGCAATCGCAGAGGTGCCAGCCATTGAGGAGGCCGCCGCGAACATGCCAAACGACGAGGTCCTTGCCGTGGAACCGACGCGGGCTGCCCTGGTGGAAGTCCCTTCGGCCGCCTATGCCGTGCCTACCTTGGCCGTTACCGCATCTGTCGAGCCGTTGCCGTCCGCTCCTCGTTGTCCAAGTAGCATTGTGATCCGCTCGGTAAGCGTTTGCTTTCACTATACTTTGTTTTATTTTTAGAATTGCGCCACATGCTTTTGACCGAACTTTTTGCTTCCAGCCTCCCCAGTCGTCGCTGCCGCTATCCACGGTCGCTGTGAGTATGCCCCCGGCGCCGTTGTCCCAGGACTGGACGGTAGTGACTGAGCTTGCAGTGGTTGAGGCTATAGCTACTGACGCGCCGAGCCCACCGCCAGTCTCTTCGACGATCCTGACCGAGCTTGTGATTGCAGAAGTTCTCGGCGCGCTGTCGGCCGCTGAAGTGAGTATTTAGATTTTCACCTTGTCATTCCTCATGTCCCAGCTAGTTGTTTCCCATTTAAATCTTTTTTTCCATCTTCAGGAGACCACCTCCTCCAATGATCTCGAGGAGTTATACGCCAGCCTCCATGAAGAAGGAGGCAGCTCGGCCTCGGCTCCCTTGGACAAGGATTCCAAGGCCGTCGTTGAAAGGCTCCAAGAGTTCCTATTCTTTGGGGTTCACCAAATGACCACCGCCGAGGCATTCATGGAGTTCAAGTCCTGCTTGGATACGGCCATGGCGTTGGGTCTGCTGGACTCGGCTCAGCTGGATGAGCTACAGGCTCGCTTGGCCGAGGGCGACGAGATGATCGGTCGGTACGCTGAGGCAAACATGAGGATGACCGATGGGTGCTCGCTCGAGCAAGAGCTGTCAGTGATAAAAGAACAAGTCCAACCTGCCATGGCCCGTTTGAAGGAAAATGACCTCGTTGTCCAAAGAGAGAATGAGAAACTTGCGCAGGTCAAGGTTCAGATTGCCGAGCTCCAGGCCCGTCGAGATCTCATCCTTCAGCGCCGAGATGGTGCAGTTGCAGTCGGAACCGAGCTGAAGTCTTCGGCCAGGCAAATCCTCAAGGCGGCGACCGAGAAAAAGAGGGCACTGGCCAAGAGGAAGTTGATCCAGGCGAGGTAGCAGGCGGATATAGATGGTGGGGACATTGCTTGGAGAATGATAACATGCCTAATCTAGGGGATGTTCAGCGAGAGGGGTTTGGTATTTGGTTGCTCTCCCCAAGTCTTGCTTTTTGATTCTTGCTTTAAGGGTCTGTGACATATGTCCAAAATTTTCCTCCATCTGTGGACAAAGTTGGTTGTTTAAGAGATCAATGGATTTCCAGTTTTGAAATGTAAGTCATGATGGAGACAAGTTTTGTTGATCCATTTGATCAGATGTTGACAACAAAGACAAGTTTTGTTTATGTAAATACAAATACAACTGTTTTACATAATATAGCCGCACGGCTATATTATCTGAGAACGCAAAATCTTAATCTTATTTTAGTGAGTAAATAGACTATTTTTCTAAAAACACCATATCATAGCGGTGAGTTATAGTGTAAGATGTCTATATATCTAAGAATGCAATATCTTACCCGTAATTTATTGAGTAAATAGACTATTTTTTTCTAAAAACACCATATCTTAAAGGTAATTTATAGTGTAAAGTGCCTTTATATATGAGAACACAACATCTTACCCTTAATTTATTGAGTAAATAGGCTATTTTTCTAAAAACACAATATCTTACCGGTAAGTTTAGTGTAAAATGCCTATATATCTAAGAACGCAACATCTTACCCACAATTTGTTGAGTGAATAGACTATTTTTTCTAAAAACACCATATCTTACCGATAAGTTATAGTGTAAGGTGCCTATATATCCGAGAACGCAATATCTTATCCGTAATTTATTGAGTAAATAGACTATTTTTCTGAAAATACCATATCTTACCAATAAGTTATTGTGTAAGATGCTTATATATTTGAGAATGCAATATCTTACCTGTAATTTATTGTGTAAATAGTATATTTTTTTAACAACACAATATCTTACCGGTAAGTTATAGTGTAAAATGCCAATATATCAAAGAACACAACATCTTACCCGTAATTTATTGAGTAAATAGACTATTTTTTCAAAACCACCATATCTTAAAGGTAAGTTATAGTGTAAAGTGCTTATACATCTAAGAACTCAACATCTTAACCGTAATTTATTGAGTAAATAGACTGTTTTTCTAAAAACATCATATCTTACTGGTAAGTTATAGTGTAAAATGTCTATATATCTAAGAACACAACATCTTACCCGTAAATTGATTGAGTAAATAGGCTAGTTTTCCAAAAACACCATATCTTACCGGTAAGTTATAGTGTAAGATGCCTATATATATGAGAGCGCAACATCTTACCTGTAATTTATTGAGTAAATAGACTATGTTTATAAAAACACATATCTTACCAGTAAGTTATAGTGTAAAATGCCTATATATCTGAGAATACAACATCTTACCCGTAATTTATTGAGTAAATAGACTATTTTTCCAAAGCCACCATATCTGAAAGGTAAGTTATAGTATAAAGTGCCTATAAATCTGAGAACGCAACATCTTACCCTTAATTTATTGAGTAAATAAACTACTTTTCTAAAAACACAATATCTTACCGGTAAGTTATTGTGTAAAATGTCTATATATCTGAGAACGCAATATCTTTCCCGTAATTTGTTGAGTAAATAGTATGTTTTTTTAACAACACAATATCTTACCGGTAAGTTATAGGGTAAAATTCCAATATATCTAATAACGCAACATCTTACCCGTAATTTATTGAGTAAATAGACTATTTTCCCAAAAACATCATATCTTAAAGGTAAGTTATAGTGTAAAGTGCCTATATATTTTAGAACGCAACATCTTACCCTTAATTTATTGAGTAAATAGACTATTTTTCTAAAAACAGCATATCTTTCCAGTAAATGATAGTGTAAAGTCCTTATATATATGAGAACGCAACATCTTACCCGTAATTTATTGATTAAATAGACTATTTTTTCCAAAACCACCAAATCTTAAAAGGTAAGCTATAGTGTAAAGTGTCTATATATATGAGAACTCAACATCTTACCTATAATTTATTGAGTAAATAGACTATTTTTCCAAAATTACCAAATCTTAAAGGTAAGTTATAGTGTAAAGTACCTATATATATATGAGAACTCAACATCTTACCTGTAATTTATTGAGTAATAGACTATTTTTCTAAAAACATCATCTCTTACCGGTAAGTTATAGTGTAAAATGCTTATATATTTGAGAATGCAACATCTTAAAAATCGTATTTTTCTAAAAACACCATATCGTACCCGTAAGTTATAGTGTGAAGTGCCTATATATCTGAGAACATAATATCTTACACTTATAGCCTATTTTTTCTTAAAACGCAATATCTTACCCCTAAGTTAATGAGTGAAAAACATATATATATACATATATAAATATATATCTGAGAATACAATATCCTACTGGTAATTTGATGAGTGAAAAGCCTATTTTTTTGTAAACTCAATATCTTACTGGTATGTTATAGAGTAAAAATCCTATATATTTGAAAACGCAATAACTTACTGGTATGTGATATAGTGAAATTCCTATATATCTTAGAGCACAATATCTTAGCGGTAATTTAATGAGTGAAAAGCTTTTTTTGTTTTGTTTTTGTTTTTGTTTTAGAAAACATCATATCTTGCCAATAAGTTATAGTGTGAAGTGTCTATATATCTAAGAACTCAATATCTTACCCGTAATGTATTGAGTGAATAGCCTATTTTTTTGAAAAAGCAATATCTTACCCCTAAGTTAATGGGTGAAGAGCATATATATCTGAGAACGAAATATCTTACCGGTAAGATATTGGGTAAGTTAAGTTATGGATCCAAACCACTCTCTAAACAAGTCTTTATATGCATTTTTAACATCAAATTGATGTAATGGCCAATCCATATTCGCTACTAGAGACAGTAAAATTCTTATGGTGTTGAACCTGGCTACTAGGCAAAAGGATTATGAAAGTCCACCCCATATTTATGTGTGTATACCTATGCTACTAACATGGCCTTATATCTTTCAATTAAGCCATCAGCTTTAAGCTTCATGGTATAGACCCACCTGGATCCTACTGTTTCTTTCCGTAAGGTAAAGGGACAAGCTCACATATGGCAATCTTTGGCAGAGCTTGCATTTCTTCATTCATGGCATCTTTCCACTTTGGATCCTCCATTGCTTCTTTCACACTACTTGGAACAAATATATTGGCCAAAAACATTTTCTGGCAATTCATTAGTGTCATCAATTTCAAGGGAAGATAGTACCTAAATGACATCCTCTTATGGCAATTGGTGTGGTACTATAGTAGAAAGATGATCCAAAGTAGGCAAACTCCAAAAAAAGACCCAATTGATGCTCCTGATTTTGGCAGCGCTTAGCAACTGGTCGTTAGGGATGGGTGACCGATCGTAATTTGGGTCTGCTCCTATCTTTTGCTAGGTATGGGTGATCGGTCGTTAGGGGGCAAAATATCCTCCTACGTGAAACTTTCCAAATCCAACTGGTCGCTAGGGATGGGCAACTGGTAGATCTGTATATTGAAGGTTGATGCCAAAGACTGATCAGTTTGAAACTCGTTTGACTGTTCGTTTCATGCTGGACCTATTTTGTTCTTTTGAATAGTACATTTCGTGTTCCCGAAACACGACATCCATGGACGTAGACACCTTCGAACTTAGTGGGTGATAACATCAGTGCCACTTTTGTTGTAGGGCATAACCAACAAACACACATATTAATGTCCGCGAATCTAATTTACTCCATTGGTAATCATGTAGGTGTACAAACACAACATATCCGAAAACTTGTGGCTTGAGGTTTGGGGAGGGAGGTATATACTACTGATGATTAAGTGTTTGGAAAGGTGTTTGAAAATTGAAGATGCTGGAAAAATACGATTGATAAGATAAGTTGTAGATGTGACCATCTCTCCCCAAAACTACCGAATACTAGCACGACGTGTAAAAGCCTATGAAATTGTAAAATTAAAACTCAATTTCACCTCAACTGCATAAAACTCAATTTCACATCAACATAGCTCAACGCTAGTCATGTATGCAACTTCTTTTATTTTATTGTTAAAAAAATTACGCATTTCAATTTTACCAATTTAATTTAATTCTAATACAAGACTCAGTAACAAATGCTAGCACAATGTTTGTTCTTGTAGATTGTTGCTCAATTATGAAATTCTGAATTTTAGGCCCAACAAAAAAACCAATTTAATTTTGATCTTACATAAAAACTGAACCAAACCGAACCGAATTGCGCTCACCCCTAATACTAATTTTAGAAGTATATATAGGTTTTAGTCTATGTTTGTACATGAGTCAACGCTAACTTCAACACCCTAGCCCATCGTCAGTAGTGTTGTATTGGCGTCAAGTCAAACTCTTGTTAGCATAAACAATGGAAATAGAATGAATGGCTATGCTCCCATTAATTAGTTGCTCCATCCACCTACCAAATTACCCTGTCAAAGTCTCTCTCGTCCTTGAAATTGAATACAGCCCCGCCCCAACTTCCTCTCCAAAATTCATAACCAGCACAATTCACTCACGGTTGGCTAGTCACACCAATTCTTGTACGCGCCAATCCAACCCAACCCAACCCAATTCAATTCAGACAAAACAATTAACCGAACCAAGTACCAACCATGAACCCGCCGCCGCCGCCACCACCCACACCCAAAAAGGAGGTTCAACTCCACGGCCCACGCCCCTCCCCTCTCAAAGTCAACAAAGAATCGGTCAAGATCAAGAAGCCACCACCACACCCACGCCCAGACCCAAACCCAAACCCAAACCAACATGCAGATGTCGAACAGCGCCAGCCAGTGGTGATCTACACGGTGTCTCCTAAAGTCATCCACGCAACAGTGAGTGAGTTCATGTCCTTAGTCCAACGCCTCACCGGGCCTTCCCCTTCGTCCTCCCCCGGCGACGGCGGACTCTCACCGGCTGCAAGACTCGCCTCCATCCACAAAACAAGCCCCAATTCTTCTTCAATTTCAGATCACAATCGGCCCTTGATGCCCAACATCACTACTTCTTACCACGACGACTTCATGGCAAGTATTTTTAATAATCTTGAAGATCAAGGAAGAGGAGATGAAATGGGTCAGTTTTCGGGCATATTGTCTCCTGCCCCGGCGACTTTGCCGCCCATCATCCCAAATGGGTTTTTCTCTCATCAGCATGACGTCCTTAGCAGCCCATTTCACAGTTGGCAGGGAATTGGAAACAACAACTTCAATTTCATGCCTAGCCCTGGCCCTGCTTCAGCCCTTTGATTTCTCCAAGTCCTTCTTCGTGGGACCTGTTTAACAATTTCTTAGACTACTTTTAGACCCTTTGCTTTCTCGATCACCTTCAGTTTTCAACAAGTGGCTGCAATGCAATTGGCTGTCCGGTGAGATTTTTTCTAATGTATTGACTCTTGACTCGCTTTCTTTTTGTTTCATAGTATTTCGCTCTCTCTCAACTCAAGCTTGGATTTTTTCCTATGGTTTCGGCTGCTGCGTTGATTCAATTTTTTTTTGGGGTGCTTTTCTGTTATTGAAGTTGGCAACGTCAGATGAACATCCAAGGCAGTTTCTTTGTATGCCAGAAGAAGCCCAGCAGATGGTTCTTTAACCTGAGGCACACCTTGCAGTTTGGCATTGGATTACACCATGTCGGTCTGAATGACAAAGATAGATCTATGGTTGAGGAACTTTTTGCAAACAACAAGATTCAGGCATTTCTGTTTTACCTCAGTAAGCATGAGTCTTTCCCGAAAAACACATTAGGAAAAGAGAATATAAGAAGATAATTTTCTTACTCCATATACTGATTAGGCATATGTATTAAATTATAGGTATTGGTTTGTACCAGTACATTGGCATGGGGTGTAAACCTTCCAGGTCATCATCTGTTCATTATTAAGGTAAGGTAAAATTTGTGCGGTATCTTTTTCATTTGGTTCTTATATTTACAAAGGTTTCTAGCAGGAGTATATTGCAGCAGCTGTTCTTCAGGACAAATTTATGTTAAGTGTTGATTCTCTTGCAGGGAACAGAATATTATGATGGGAAAACAAAGAGATATGTTGATTTTACAATATCAATCACAGATATATTGCAAATGATGGTTTTGGTCACACATGACTACATAGAATAAAAAATGGAAAGAAAGAAATATGTGAATCAGATTACATGTTTTTCTCCCTTTATAATCAACAGTTGCTCAGATTCTACAAGAAAGATGGGAGTAGATGTCCATCACAATCCGCCCGCCTAACAATCAATAAACACAAATCATATTAGTTTCTGAATATTTGCCTCAAATATTAATACTAGGAATCAGGTTGTTTGGGGTTTTGAATATCAGAAATAAAAGACCAGTGCTAGTGTGAATTGGGCATTCTGCCTTGTTTATATTATTACATTCTACAGCTAGCATATCAGTTGATTAGTTAGAGATGTTAATCGGGGATGCTGAGCACCCTCGAATGTTGTTAGTCCATGCTTCTTTCCTGTATTGTTTATCTTGTTTTGTTTTTTTTCCTTTGTCCTCCAAGAGAAGCTCTTCTTTTGTCTTATTTACGTAGATTTATCTGGCCTGAGGAAGGATTGGATGTGGGTTAACCAGACCTTCAGAGACCCCTAAAGCATGAGAAATTATGACTTACTCATTAAAGTGTTGTTAGAAGGGCCACTTTGGAATTTAGCCATATATATTTTTGTCTGTAAGGACAATGTGCAGCACTTGCACTTAAATGGTACACTAATTGTTTCTGAAAATGGTGAAGCTTTGTTTTATCTAATTATTTATTTTTAACAATTACGCTTTCATTCGGATGATTTGTTCCTTAAGAAAGTAGAGTTTTCACCTCTTAGCCTCTTCTCATATCTTTTGGCTTCTTTTCAGGGTTTATGGTTTGATGGAGATTCTTCCCTTATGGATGATGCCATGCATGAATGTTGAACTGTTGCTAACTCGCTAAGCAAAAGAGGAATATTCAGCGTACAGCTACTATTCCCCAAGGCAACTTTGCAGACCATGATTGGAAATTTTCCTGCTTAAAAAATGTATCTGGTACAGACTTCTAAGATAGTGGAAACATGGCTGACTAACCCACAGGTCAAGATTTAACATGACTGGACAACTTTTTGAGTGGGCTGGGTATATTGAAATACAAGTCAGTTATTTGCTTTCAGGCGTGTTAACTAATTTCAGTAGCTTTGCATCTAGAATATTTTGTTCTTCTAGGATCTGTAGCCTTTTCCACGCATCGAAGTGAAATTAAAACTTCAGCGAAAAGTCTCACTCTTTAGACATCACACTGGTGAACACTAATTTCAGGCAAAACAAATCAAGAGCGTTTACCCCGCTTTTCCCTAAGGTAAAAACTTCTTCTTGTTCTAAACTAGTAATGAGAAACCAAACTGAACTTCAGATTCTCTTTTACAGGTGAAAAACGAAGCATGGTGGTTGGTCCTTGCGAACACCTCAACATGGGAATTATATTCTCTCATAAGAGTATCTTTCTCTGATCACTTGGTTACTCACATGGAGTTACCATCAGTTCCTAAGACTCTCCAGGTACCATGTGGCCTTTTCTTGCTTTGCTTGCTAACATTTGTTTTACCGTGCTTTCCAGGGGATGAAATTGACTTCAATTTCAGATTGTCATCTACGGTTCGAGCAAGAGCACTCTATTTCACAACTTATTGAACTGCAGTAACCAAAGGAAGATATCTTATCAGTCGGATACATTGGACCTTAGGTGTATATATTCGAATATATTTACAAAGTATAACTGCCCGGCTATACTTTTAAATATATATCTCCTTCTAGATGTATTTGAGTGAGGTTGAGTAGTAGTTGTGAGTCGAGTCCCTTTCCTTCTCATACTCTAACCCTAGAAGAAAGGGGTTAAAAAGAGTAAATACCAAGAAGACTTTTTTTAGGACATGGACATTTAGATTCAAAACGCATTCAAGCAATTTTATACCTAGAAATTCAACATTCTTTGATCCACAAAATGTTGGTGGATCCCTTTTGTTGTTGTATTTATGGGTTAAACTCCTATTATTTCTATAAATAAAATCCATTTTTTATTCTTGCCCAAAATAATTGAAGAAATAACTCCAGCCGAATGGGCTACAGTGGTATATTAGCCCCAAACCCTAAAATAATCTGAAAAGAAAAAACTGTATATTTAAAGAGTATAGCCAGCCGGCTATACTCTTAAAAAATAAATCTAAAAAAGGCAAATAAAAAGAAAAAGCTATATAGCCGCGCTGCTATACTATTTAAAATTTAAAAATAATAAAAATCGCATAGCCGCGCGGATATACTCGTTAAAATTAAATTAAAAAAAGGATATAGCCTGTCGGCTATACTCTTTAAAAAATAAAAAAATAAAAAACAATATAGCCGGGCGGCTATACTCGTTAAAAATAAAAAATAATAAAAAATAGTATAGCCGCTCGTCTATACGCCTTAAAAACAAAAATAAATAAATAATAGTATAGCCGGGCGGCTATACGCGTCAAAAATTAAATATAAAAAAGGGTATAACCGTTGGCTATACTCTGTAAAAATAAATAAAATAATTAAAAATAGTGGCTATACTCGTTAAAAATTAAATATAAATAGGGGTATAGCCGTGAGTCTCAAGTATCAGTGGGAGCTGCCTTCGGGGTAGGCCAGTCCACAGTTTCTCAAGTGACTTGGAGATTCATTGAAGCATTGGAAGAACGTGAAAAGCACCATCTCAAGTGGCCTGATTCCAACAGAATGGAAGAAATAAAGTCCAAACTTGAAGAAGCCTTTGGATTTCCCAATTGTTGTGGAGCCATAGACGGTACACACATCATTATGACACTTCCTACCTTTCAAACATCAGGCGATTGTTGTGACCTGGAGGACAACTACAGCATGCTCTTTCTGCAGGGAATTGTTGACCATGAGATGAGGTTTCTTGGCATTGTAACTGGTTGGCCTGGGGGAATGACGGTGTCTAGACTTTTAATGTGTTCAGGATTTTTCAAGCTCTGTGAAGGTGGACAGCGTTTGAATGAAAATTTTAGAACTTTATCTGGAGGAGTAGAGATTAGAGAATACTTAGTTGGTGGGTTGGCTATCCTCTGCTTCCCTAGCTCATAACTCCTTATGAAAGCAGTGGCCTCCCAGCTTCCATTTCTGCTTTCAGTGCCGTGCATGGGGCTGCAAGGTCTCTTGCGGTAATGACATTCTCGCAGTTAAAGGGCACTTGGAGAATCCTTAACAAGGTCATGTGGAGATCCGATAAGCGGAAACTTCTGAGCATCATCTTGGTATGTTGTTTACTTCACGATATAAGAATTGACAGGAGATATATTACAACTTAGCGATGGCCTCTTCAGCTTCTTCCAGCTGCCCCTTCACGTTTTCAAATTCAATACCTTTGCCCTTTTTGCTCATTTCAGTAATCTCCACCTTCCTCTTCAGGTCTTCCACGGTTATTTGAAGGTTTGTCAACTTTTGTACATCAGAATCAAGTCTTTCTAGAATCCTTCTCTTGTTGCCTTCTTGATGGGGCTCTGTAAATCTCTTAGAGATCCCTAATTTGTCCACGCCCAATTCCTTCTCAACCAATGATTCTGAAGAGGAATATTTATTCTTGTGCTCCTTTACTGCTTCAGTCTGACTGTGGTGAGTTGCTATAGCGTCCACCTTCTAGCCCTTGCCAACCATCAAATCAATGCTGGCATCCTGGTCGGTGGTTTCCCCACAACTCAAGCATCTGACCATCAGCCTCTATGGTGTCTCTTCTGCTTATCCCCAATGTAGATAGAAACCAGCTTACTTTCCATATGGCGTTTGCAACATGCTTCTCAAGTGCTGTTGTACACTCCTTCAAAGAGATGACAGATGGAATATAGGCAGCCAGCTGATCTTGTAGCCCTGATAAACGAAAATCAGGGGGAAAAAAAAAAAAAAAAAAGAAGAAGAAGAAGCCAGTATAGCCGGGCGGCGATACCTCTTAAATATATTATATTTAAAGAGTACCGCCGTTCGGCTATACCATTTAAATATTATAGCCGTGCGGCTATTCCATTTATTTATTTTTAAAAAAATGCCCAAAAATGGCGAGCTTTACATTTCCCTCCCTGCCTGGGTCGCTTCACTGAATCACTTCCCATCAAAGTCTTCAAGTTCAAGGCCGAAAAAGAGGTGGGCAATTTCTCATTTGACCTCTCATGGCACCTCCAAGAAATCAAAGAAAAGCAAGAAAGATAGGAAATTGAAGAAAAACTTAAGCTTGGTTCCAGTCGAGCCTAAAGCCGCAGACTCTGACTGGTGGGATAGTTTCTTCAACCCAAGGTTTTTCTTTTCACTAAGCTCAGTCTCCAATTACTTTGCTTCCTGCTTTTTAGTGGAATGCATTCAGATTATTTGTAGTTTTAACTAAATTATCTTTATATTTTGCTTATTTTGGAAAATCCATGATGCACAGAAATCTAGAACATGTGGTGGATTTTGTTCTGTAATGTTAAATTCGGTAATGATGTTCATAATTAGAGCTCAAAACCTATAAGCTTTTGTTCAGTTAGGCTGTTGGAAAAATCGGCCTAGGCGCTAGGCGGGTCTAGGCGGGATGTGGTCGAAAAGTTATTACTAGAGGGAGCAATAGAGATTTTAGCCTGTAAAAGTAGTATGTAATTGTTAGGAATCTGGTTTGGCCTAAGTTGGATGAGTAGTTGGAAATCCTGACTGAATCAGACTTGGGGAATATACAGACATACAAACACATAGTCGGGCTTTGCTTGTTGTCATAGACTATGAAGCCACAATTCACCTCTGGAAGGTTGACAAGTTTGACTTTGTTGTGAGTGCCTATATCGACGTCGTTTTTGCAGCGTTGAAATTGGACTAGTCTTAGCGGTACGTATCATTATTGTGTGTGACAGTAACACTATATCTAACAACTTAAAACTACGCATTAGAACTAATATTTCTTTTTACTTCTGTGTAGGTTGCAATTTTGTGATCAGGGTACTTTTGTTTGTGGCAAGGCCAAGGACTTTTGTTCAAGGAAACCTTCCGAATTCCATGGTTTACAGAAATGTTGAGCAGTATCCCAATGCAAAGGAATGTTCCTGGAATTCTAAAATTCTCATACTTGAGATTGATGCTCCCATTTACTTTGCAAATACCAACTACTTAAGAGAAGAGTAATAATTAATTAAACCAGAGTAAGAACTAAAGATTTGGGGCTTAAGAAAGATAATAGCAAGTACAGGGACTAAGGTTTTTTGAGTTGTTCTTGAGGTGGTTGTACTATCTTTTTGTTTTCTGGTCATGTTTGTGTTCTAGTGAGCCAGAACTAAAGATTTGGGGCTTAAGATAGATAAGTGGCTTATCTATGGGACTGGGAAAGAGACATCCCACTTTGTTTGAGAAGGTTTGAATCAGACATTTAATTTTTATGATGATTGCACAAATTTTCATCTACAAATTGATTGAATAACTAGTGTAGTGCTTCAAGTTACCAGTCGCTTCTAACCAAGGTGCTTTCTGATAGTGCCACCATACTCATTAAACATAGAGACCTCTGTGTGTCATCTGTTTGATTCTAATAATTTCCGAGTGTTAAGTTGGTTAGCGTTTGAGCCATAAATTACTGAAACAGTCTCATGATGAAAGAATTGATTGCGTTCTCATGATTATTTGTGATCATAGAAACTGCTTTCTAGAAATCCTTCAATCTTCTCTGATGTATTTTGTTTCATTTGTAGGCACACTGGTAGGAGAGGACTTGGTGAAGGCATCGTTGTAGTTGGGACTTGCATGATTTAAAAGCCACAATGGCTGGTTGCATGTCAACCCCATCCAAAACAATTAAACCATGGAAAGAACATTGTCAGCGGGTCATCAAACGCCATAGATAGGCAACCTGCTCTGCTTCAGATGGTACCAAGAAAAGAAATACAAGTTTCAAGAAAATAAATAGTGATGCAGGAACTCGCTTGAGCTGTCAATGAGTTTGTTCACGTGGACTTTAAGAATGGTGCAACAACTACTCACAGAAGATCTAAGGTTTCTAATTCAACATTCCATCTCACCCAGCTGCAATGGCACCATAGTCAATATGATTCGAATGGTGTGTGCTTTCTTTCATCAGATTTCAACTATCATTCAATTTCAACCAATAGTGCTGACAAGAAAATTCATAGCTCTTGAATCTCATATTTTGAAAGTTATTCATTTGCAGTAATTTTCCAAGAGGAAGCTTGGTTTGACTGGGTGAGTATTCTGGAGTCTGACTCGGATGATGACTTTATCAGTATACATGGAGGTATTGGCCATCATCCTGTAACTACATATTACAGAATGAAAGCCTTGTGGTCTTGTTTGATTGCAAAACGTCATTACTACTGAAGTAATTTTTCTTGAGCTACTTATTGGAAAAGGATTTTGTTTTGTTTTCTTAATTTTCTTCACTTATTCTACAGATGGTTTTCCATTAGCAAGCAATCCAGTTGGGAATATCTCAAGTGGCCAAGTACTTCAGCATGAAAGATCTGCTCGCTTTGTTGATAATGAGTGTAAGTATGAAGAATATGGAGGTAAATCAGATAAAATCACAGGCAAAGATGAGCGCAGGGAATCAAATCGGTTTTCGCTTATTAATACCCAGCGCTATGAGCTTTCTCACTTAGGGAAGGCTGATGAAGTTTGCAGTAAGAGGAAGAATATAGTAGATCACTCTTATGGAAGCTTTAAAGGACTTACAGAAGATGGATGTCATTCTAATGAAAAAATTCAAGACAATGCCCTGAAATCCGGCTTATCTCAATTTATATCTTACTTATCCATTTAATCCTGCTGCAATGTTTCTTAGTGATAGTGATGGAGAGAGGATGAGTCTTGTAATGTATTTCAAGGTTTTTGAGAATTTTGATAAAAACATCTCTCCTCAATTCCAGGGACAGCATCAAGGTAACTTTATTTTGTATGCAACTTCATCCATTTGGATAGGCATTTAATTTATTCTGATGTACTCTACCTGATGGAAATGATCTTATGTTCTATTGGAACACTTAGTCTGTTGGTATATTTGAATGATGCTTTTAGAAAATGGTTGACAATGAGACGGAAAAAGTTAAAGGATTCGCAAAGGACTCCACTTTACTTTTCAGAGAAAGACTAAAGATCTTGACTGGGGTGGTAAATCTTGAAGATCTTGGTCGGAGTTCTGCTGAGAAGAAGCTTGTACATGCATATAATGACAAACCAGTTCTTTCACGCCCCCGGCACAATTTTTACAAGGTAAACATTGAACATTTGTGTTGCTGAGTGTTAAGAAGATGAAACATAAAAACCATGTTGTTTGACTTTATCAAGCTCTCTCACACGCAGGGTCCTAACTACTTTGAGATTGATCTGGACATTCATCGCTTCAGCTACATATCAAGTAAAGGTCTCGAATTGTTGTGAGAACGTCTTAAAAAAAGGAATAGCCGAGCAGCTATACTCGTAAAATATTCTATTTATGGCGTGTAGTCACTCAAAAATATTCTTTTTATGGAGTATAGTCGCGCGGCCATACTTTTAAAATATTCTTTTTACGGAGTATAGCCGTGCGGCGATACTTTCTTTTAAAATAGAGAATTTATGGCGTATGGCGGATGGTTATACTCTCTTTTAAAATATTCTGTTTATGGCTTATAGAGTATAGCCAAGCGGCTATACTTTTAAAATATTCTATTTTACCAATATAGCCACGTAGCTATACGCTTTAAATATAACAATAAAAATATGGATTTCTCTATAGCAAAGCAGAGCCTGGAGGTAATGAAGCAATTAGACATGGTATGTATTTACGTTCTAGCTTTGTTCCTCTGTGTGTGCTTAGGCTTGAGAGAAAATTTATACCTTGTTTGTGTGTTGCATGTGTATGAGAAGTGATATAATGACGTTGCTCATCTTTTTAGGTGCCCTTTGTCATATTCCCTAAAAATATTCGAATATTTAAACAGTATAGCAGAGCATCTATATTCGAATAATAATATAATTACTAATTGAAGTAATTAAAAAAGGCAAAGATATTACTTAACGACATATATATATATATATATGTATATATATATATATGAAATTAAAGAAGTTGGGTAAAAAATAAAAGTAAAGAAACTAATTTTATATTAAAAAAAAAAAATAGCAAGAAGACGAAAGGTCTATGCCGGCAACTATTTGCCGGATTAGACCTTTCTTGAGGAAAGTTTCCTATGCTGACGAAATGTCGTCAGGAGAGGTCTAATCCGGCAAAATTGCACCGAGATAGACCTGTGCCAATGAAAGTTCGTCGGGAGAGGTTGTTTTAAATAATAAGTATAAACTTAGTATCTTTAGGTCAGTACATTTTTATTTTAAATTTTCTTTTTAGTAATTCAATAAAATCTTAGCCTTATTTAATTACTTTCATTAGTAATTATGTTTTAATCATTATTTATTTTGTGAATAATTAGTATTAAATATTTTAATTAACTTCATAAATATATTACTCAATAAATAGTAATTGGTTTTTTAATTTTTTTCTTTAATAAAATAATAAAATACTTAAATACTAATTATTCACTAAGTAAATAATAATTAAAACATAACTACTAAATAAAGTAATTAAAAAAGAGAAATTCAGATTATGATATTTCAAGGGTATAGCCGTGCGGCTATACGTTTAAAATATTATGTTAATGGAGCCTTACCAAAACAAATTTATGTCCAGAGTGCTAAATTGAATCAATAAATTTGTGATCATGAAACTACTTTAGTAATTCGCTGAATCACTTGTGAAGTTATTTTATTGCTTGTGTACATATCCACATGTAACACCCCGACCCCAAATTATCCCATGTTTTAATTTATTTAAGTGGAATTGAGAAATTACCCGTGGGATAGGGGTATTTTAGTCATTTTCTTATCGGAAGGAATTTGGGAATTCCGGTTGTACCGTTGCGTAGAGCACGGTGAGATGAGTCCGTAGACACGTAGTGGGCTCGAATCGGAGTTGTAACGAGAGAGATATGATCAAAAGAAGCTCAGTGGCATAATCGTAAATATTTGGAAAATGGATTTTTGGGTTAAAAGACGGAATTGCCCCCGTCTCTCTCACACTCTCTCTCTCCCGCGCGTCTCTCCCTCTCTCTGGTTTTCGCGACGGCTGGAACAGCCGGCCACGTTTTGGCCGGCCGTGCTCTCGTCCGGCCACCAAAGTCGACGGGGCCGGTACCAAAATGACCGGGCCGCCGTCCTCTTCCTACCCCAGCCAGGTCGCGCCGTCAGCCGTCGAGATTTCGCCGGAAAATCGAAGAGAAAAGCTCGGTTTCGCCCGAAACTTCGCCGGCTTCGTTCTCCGTCGTCCGGCCGCCATTTTTGGCGATCAAGGTATGGAAATTCATCCCTTCTGCATGATCTAGCTGATGGTTGGGTAGGATTGCATCGATTTTGAGCCTAGATTATCTGATTTTCGAGTTAGGGTTCGGCCGGATTTCGGGATGAGATTCCGGCCACTTCCGGTCAGTTTTTGGGGTACGTCCAAGAACAAAAGTGACTCCAAATTAGGTGTTTTACCTAGGGTAGGAGTCTTGAGCCGTGATTTGTGGTTTTTCCGGCGATGGGTTATCGCTTTGGACACCCACGCGCTGCCGGCGCGTGTGGCGGCGCGTGGGCACTGTAGCTGAGGGGCATTTTTGTCCCAATGTGATCCTCTCGATGTCACGAGCGCGTAGGTGTGCTCGGATTCCAATTTGGTTACCGTTAGAGTCCCGAACGGATATCGCATATCGCGTATTTTCCGAGTTCGCTAGGTTTGGACCGTTGGATGGTTCTGAAATTATAATATGTTGATCTAAGTATTACCAGGATCGTGTAGGATTCGACGGATCGTAAAACGGAGTCCCGGATACTCCGGAAATGCCAACCCTGGGGTTAGGGTTTTAGTAACCGTCCGATTGGGTGATCGTGAGCGATCCGACCGTCCGATCTGGACCAAACTTGCAGGACTGTGTCCTAGAGCCTATAGAACCTATAGGAACTTTCGGATCGGAATTTGGAGGTTTGTGGGCCCCGCAGGCCCGTTTGACCCTAGGTTGACCGTGAGACTCCGGGATAGTCTTACCTTTCCTTGAGGGTTAGAATGACCTTAGTGACAGGTCTTGAGCGTTGTTGAGTTAAATGGATATTGTGGGTTTAGGATATAAATTGGTGAATTTAAATGGGGGAGTTTATGGAATGTTTTATTGGTTGATGTTATTGTATGATTAGAAATTGTATGATATATTTAATTAATTGTGTGGAGGTATAATGATATATAAGGAGATTGAATGTTAGTTTGCAGTGCTATACGCACTACCCCACGTACCCCTCATATTGTGATTATGCTCAGGCCCAAGTGATAGTGTGAGGTCGCACGCGTCTTTGGATTAGCCGGCGTGTTGACAGACCCCGTACGTGGCCGGGTGCGTCCCGACGTATGAGTGGGAGATATGATGGTATGAGGGCTGGTGAGAATGTAGCCAGGCCCAGTGTGAGGTCGCACGCGTCTTTGGGTTAGCCGGCGTGTTGACAGACCCCGTACGTGGCCGGGTGCGTCCCGACGTATGAGTGGGAGATATGATGGTATGAGGGCTGGTGAGAATGTAGCCAGGCCCAGTGTGAGGTCGCACGCGTCTTTGGATTAGCCGGCGTGTTGACAGACCCCGTACGTGGCCGGGTGCGTCCCGACGTATGAGTGGGAGATATGATGGTATGAGGGCTGGTGAGAATGTAGCCAGGCCCAGTGTGAGGTCGCACGCGTCTTTGGATTAGCCGGCGTGTTGACAGACCCCGTACGTGGCCGGGTGCGTCCCGACGTATGAGTGGGAGCTATGTGATTATGTTTGGTGTGTTGTGATGGATAAACCCGAGAATGTATGAATTTATATGGATGTAATGGTTTAATTGATATCAGGAGCCAGGATTGATAGGAAAGAGCTACGTGTGGCTTGATCCCTTAGTAGGGTACGTAGGCAGCCTGGGATAGCGCCTAGGTGCAGCCACGACTTAGACACCACTTAGGTGGTTTCATTGTGTATGATGCGGACCTCGTGGTTGGTCCCGAAACTTGGTTGAATTGAGACTGGTCCGGTGGACTGAGTGAGCGAAGGTGTGCATAGTTAGATTTTGAATTGGTTCTGTGCATGTTTGATGCATGGAGTTATTTTAAAAGCAGTGTGAGTAGTTCTGCTAGAATCATTTGAAGGCTGGAGGCCATTTATGTAAATTGCCTGAGATTATATTGTGCGTGCGGCTGGTTGGGTTATAAAATGTGTTTTATGCAGGTGGAAATTTTGGGGAATGTTTAATTTACAGGGGAGACTCTGCCGAAATTTTGGCAGAAAGTCTCGTGCCCTAAATCCTCTCTGGTAAACGAGGACGTAGATTTAAGGAGTAAACCCGGCGTGGGTGTGATGCCGGGGTCTCCGCAGGGTTCGTCTCGGGTTCCGGGAAATTCGGGTTTTTTTTTTTTTTTTTTTTTTTTTTTTTTTTTTTTTTTTTTTTTTTTTTTTTTTTTTTTTTTTTTTTTTTTTTTTTTTTTTTTTTTTTTTTTTTTTTTTTTTTTTTTTTTTTTTTTTTTTTTTTTTTTTTTTTTTTTTTTTTTTTTTTTTTTTTTTTTTTTTTTTTTTTTTTTTTTTTTTTTTTTTTTTTTTTTTTTTTTTTTTTTTTTTTTTTTTTTTTTTTTTTTTTTTTTTTTTTTTTTTTTTTTTTTTTTTTTTTTTTTTTTTTTTTTTTTTTTTTTTTTTTTTTTTTTTTTTTTTTTTTTTTTTTTTTTTTTTTTTTTTTTTTTTTTTTTTTTTTTTTTTTTTTTTTTTTTTTTTTTTTTTTTTTTTTTTTTTTTTTTTTTTTTTTTACTAGAGAGGGAGCAATAGAGATTTTAGCCTGTAAAAGTAGTATGTAATTGTTAGGAATCTGGTTTGGCCTAAGTTGGATGAGTAGTTGGAAATCCTGACTGAATCAGACTTGGGGAATATACAGACATAGAAACACATAGTCGGGCTTTGCTTGTTGTCATAGACTATGAAGCCGCAATTCACCTCTGGAAGGTTGACAAGTTTGACTTTGTTGTCTGCATGAGTGCCTATATCGACGTCGTTTTTGCAGCGTTGAAATTGGACTAGTCTTAGCGGTACGTATCATTATTGTGTGTGACAGTAACACTATATCTAACAACTTAAAACTACGCATTAGAACTAATATTTCTTTTTACTTCTGTGTAGGTTGCAATTTTGTGATCAGGGTACTTTTGTTTGTGGCAAGGCCAAGGACTTTTGTTCAAGGAAACCTTCCGAATTCCATGGTTTACAGAAATGTTGAGCAGTATCCCAATGCAAAGCAATGTTCCTGGAATTCTGAAATTCTCATACTTGAGATTGATGCTCCCATTTACTTTGCAAATAACAACTACTTAAGAGAAAAGTACTAATTAATTAAACCAGAGTAAGAACTAAAGATTTGGGGCTTAAGAAAGATAATAGCAAGTACAGGGACTAAGGTTTTTTGAGTTGTTCTTGAGGTGGTTGTACTATCTTTTTGTTTTCTGGTCATGTTTGTGTTCTAGTGAGCCAGAACTAAAGATTTGGGGCTTAAGATAGATAAGTGGCTTATCTATGGGACTGGGAAAGAGACATCCCACTTTGTTTGAGAAGGTTTGAATCAGACATTTAATTTTTATGATGATTGCACAAATTTTCATCTACAAATTGATTGAATAACTAGTGTAGTGCTTCAAGTTACCAGTCGCTTCTAACCAAGGTGCTTTCTGATAGTGCCACCATACTCATTAAACATAGAGACCTCTGTGTGTCATCTGTTTGATTCTAATAATTTCCGAGTGTTAAGTTGGTTAGCGTTTGAGCCATAAATTACTGAAACAGTCTCATGATGAAAGAATTGATTGCGTTATCATGATTATTTGTGATCATAGAAACTGCTTTCTAGAAATCCTTTAATCTTCTCTGATGTATTTTGTTTCATTTGTAGGCACACTGGTTGGAGAGGACTTGATGAAGGCATCGTTGTAGTTGGGACTTGCATGATTTAAAAGCCACAATGGCTGGTTGCATGTCAACCCCATCCAAAACAATTAAACCATGGAAAGAACACTGTCAGCGGGTCATCAAACGCCATAGATAGGCAACCTGCTCCGCTTCAGATGGTACCAAGAAAAGAAATGCAAGTTTCAAGAAAATAAATAGTGATGCAGGAACTCGCTTGAGCTGTCAATGAGTTTGTTCACGTGGACTTTAAGAATGGTGCAACAACTACTCACAGAAGATCTAAGGTTTCTAATTCAACATTCCATCTCACCCAGCTGCAATGGCACCATAGTCAATATGATTCGAATGGTGTGTGCTTTCTTTCATCAGATTTCAACTATCTTTCAATTTCAACCAATAGTGCTGACAAGAAAATTCATAGCTCTTGAATCTCATATTTTGAAAGTTATTCATTTGCAGTAATTTTCCAAGAGGAAGCTTGGTTTGACTCGGTGAGTATTCTGGAGTCTGACTCGGATGATGACTTTATCAATATACATGGAGGTATTGGCCATCAGCCTGTAACTACATATTACAGAATGAAGGCCTTGTGGTCTTGTTTGATTGCAAAACGTCATTACTACTGAAGTAATTTTTCTTGAGCTACTTATTGGAAAAGGATTTTGTTTTGTTTTCTTAATTTTCTTCACTTATTCTACAGATGGTTTTCCATTAGCAAGCAATCCAGTTGGGAATATCTCAAGTGGCCAAGTACTTCAGCATGAAAGATTTGCTCGCTTTGTTGATAATGAGTGTAAGTATGAAGAATATGGAGGTAAATCAGATAAAATCACAGGCAAAGATGAGCGCAGGGAATCAAATCGGTTTTCGCTTATTAATACCCAGCGCTATGAGCTTTCTCACTTAGGGAAGGCAGATGAAGTTTGCAGTAAGAGGAAGAATATAGTAGATCACTCTTATGGAAGCTTTAAAGGACTTACAGAAGATGGACGTGATTCTAATGAAAAAATTCAAGACAATGCCCTGAAATCCGGCTTATCTCAATTATAAATCTCACTTATCCATTTAATCCTGCTGCAATGTTTCTTAGTGATAGTGATGGAGAGAGGAGGAGTCTTGTAATGTATTTCAAGGTTTTTGAGAATTTTGATAAAAACATCTCTCCTCAATTCCAGGACAGCATCAAGGTAACTTTATTTTGTATGCAACTTCATCCATTTGGAGAGGCACGTACTTTATTCTGATGTACTCTCCCTGATGGAAATGATCTTATGTTCTATTGGAACACGCAGTTTGTTGGTATATTTGAATGATGCTTTTAGAAAATGGTTGACGATGAGACGGAAAAAGTTAAAAGGATTCGCAAAGGACTCCACTGTACTTTTCAGAGAAAGACTAAAGATCTTGACTGGGGTGGTAAATCCTGAAGATCTTGGTCGGAGTTCTGCTGAGAAGAAGCTTGTACATGCATATAATGACAAACCAGTTCTTTCACGCCCCCGCACAATTTTTACAAGGTAAACATTGAACATTTGTGTTGCTGAGTGTTAAGAAGATGAAACATAAAAACCATGTTGTTTGACTTTATCAAGCTCTCTCACACGCAGGGTCCTAACTACTTTGAGATTGATCTGGACATTCATCGCTTCAGCTACATATCAAGGAAGGGTCTCGAATTGTTGTGAGAACGTCTTTAAAAAAGGAATAGCCGAGCAGCTATTCTCGTAAAATATTCTATTTATGGTGTGTAGTCACTCAAAAATATTCTTTTTATGGAGTATAGTCGCGCGGCCATACTTTTAAAATATTCTTTTTACGGAGTATAGCCGTGCGGCGATACTCTCTTTTAAAATAGAGAATTTATGGCGTATGGCCGGACGGTTATACTCTCTTTTAAAATATTCTGTTTATGGCTTATAGAGTATAGCCAAGCGGCTATACTTTTAAAATATTCTATTTTACCAATATAGCCACGTAGCTATACGCTTTAAATATAACAATAAAAATATGGATTTCTATGTAGCAAAGCTGAGCCTGGAGGTAATGAATCAATTAGACATGGTATGTATTTACGTTCTAGCTTTGTTCCTCTGTGTGTGCTTAGGGTCGAGAGAAAATTTATACCTTGTTTGTGTGTTGCATGTGTATGAGAAGTGATATAATGACGTTGCTCATCTTTTTAGGTGCCCTTTGTCATATTTCCCTAAATATATTCGAATATTTAAACAGTATAGCAGAGCATCTATATTCGAATAATAATATAATTACTAATTGAAGTAATTAAAAAAGGCAAAGATATTACTTAATGACATATATATATAGTATATATATATATATATGAAATTAAAGAAGTTGGGCAAAAAATAAAAGTAAAGAAACTAATTTTATATTTAAAAAAAAATAGCAAGAAGACCAAAGGTCTATGCCGACAACTGTTTGCCGGATTAGACCTTTCCTGAGGAAAGTTTCCTATGCTGACGAAATGTCGTCGGGAGAGGTCTAATCCGGCAAAATTGCACCGAGATAGACCTGTGCCAACGAAAGTTCGTCGGGAGAGGTTTTTTAAATAATAAGTATAAACTTAGTATCTTTAGGTCAGTACATTTTATTTTAAATTTTCTTTTTAGTAATTCAATAAAATCTTAGCCTTATTTAATTACTTTCATTAGTAATTATGTTTTAATCATTATTTATTTTGTGAATAATTAGTATTAAATATTTTAATTAACTTCATAAATATATTACTCAATAAATAGTAATTGGTTTTTTAATTTTTTTCTTTAATAAAATACTTAAATACTAATTATTCATAAGTAAATAATAATTAAAACATAACTACTAAATAAAGTAATTAAAAAAGAGAAATTCAGATTATGATATTTCAAGGGTATAGCCGTGCGGCTATACGTTTAAAATATTATGTTAATGGAGCCTTACCAAAACAAATTTATGTCCGGAGTGCTAAATTGAATCAATAAATTTGTGATCATGAAAATACTTTAGTAATTCGCTGACTCACTTGTGAAGTTATTTTATTGCTTGTGTACATATCCACATGACATGTTGATGTGATTTATCAAAATTTTCTCAAATTATTATAATTCGTGCACAATAGTTATAAAATTCAAATTTTACACAAAAACAAGGAACAATAAGAGAAAAAATCGCAGCCAAACGTGGTTCATATGGTAGATCCAAAGATTCCTATGAAGATGAATCCATTCTTCTTAGAAAGGTTAGAATGGTGGTTCATATTTTTTGAAAAATAGTATAGCCGCTCGGCTATACTCCTTTTTTCAAAATTTATTTTAAAAATGGTACTTCCATGCGGCTATAATAGGTTTTTTCCTAATTTATTTTAAAAATAGTACAGCCACACGGCTATACCAGTTTTCTACCTAATTTTTTAAAAACCAGTATTGCCGGGCGGCTTCACTTGGTATTTTCTTAATTTTTTAAAAATAGTATAGCCGCCCGGCTATACTCGGTTTTTAAAAAAATATTTTGGTGAATCGGACTCGAACTCATCACTACGAACGTCTAGGGCACAGAGCAAGCCCGTTCCAGGTTTTGAGCACTGTTCGAGATGTCGGCCAAGGGGCTAGGCAGGAGGACACCGACACAGTAAGGGGGGCTAGGATCTAGGCGGCGCTTAGGCGGCCTGGGGGGATCTAGGCGGCGCCTAGGCGGCCTGGGCGGATCTAGGCTTCCTGGGCGGGTCTGGGCGCCAGGGCATGTCCTTCTTTTTCCAAATGAAGACAGACGAAGCTTGCTGGTGCGAAGGAGCAAAGGTGACATGTATATATTGTGTGAGAAGGAGGAAAGGTGACATAAAATAAGGAAAGGCATAAGAAATGAGGGTTTGTTTCGTGTGGAGTGAAAGGAAGAGATAGAAAACTATGTTTCTGTTGTTGATAGAGTGAGAATTGGGAGGCAAATGAAGAGGGAATGAGAGATTTATAATTCCTGGTGGTCTTGGTTGAGAGATTTATAAATTAGTCGTCAACACGCATGCAGGAGAGGTCGGTTAGTGGAGGGAGGCGCATTGGCATTGCTCACCAATGCCTTTCTGCTTTATTGATTTCTTTCTAGTACTAGAAGCCTAATGTTACTGTCTAAGAAAGAAAGGTCTCTTGGAGCTTTATAACTGGCTTCAAGGGCATCTTCCAGCTAATATGACAGTGGACCATGAAATGTATTTTGTAGAATGTGTTGACTTTGCCAAATCCTTCATCCAACTGTATCTCAAAGAGGTATGTCTTCTTTATCTTTGAAACTAGGAGTTTTTTTTGTCTATGTTTATATGCAACGTGTTTAGATGCAAATAGGCAATCTATTCACCGAGACCCAAAAAAAGAAAAATTGAATCATATTTTGTTTTGTCTATCTGAATGCATCATCTTATTCAACAATTTCACGTACTAAAATTGCAGTTCTGTATTCTTCATTTGTCGTATTTTTCTTGCAGTTTTTTAGACTCATGTCCTCATTTCTTGGCTTGTTTTTGAATTGTAGGATGATGTATTATTCAAAGTGCTCTTGCATATGCTTCGTGTACCTTGCTGTGCAGAACAGTAAGGAATTAATATCCTAGTTTTCCATTGTTTTAAAAGTTAACGTCATGGATTCCTTTTAACGAGATTTTTGGGTTTATATAGGGATGAAAGGGAAAAGGTTGCATTGGAGGATTCGAATGGCATTTACTTTTCCGTGTCTCAGATCTTTTCAATTGTTGATGTATAACCCTTGAGCTGAAATTCTTGGCGCCAGAGTTGCTCTGTTTGCATTTTATTTCATTTTTATATGTTTAAATTCTGTTTGCAACATGAGCCATTGGATCATAGTCCAAGTGGTCTCTTTCTTATCTAGCCTAGGATATAATCTGTTAGATTGTGACAAGTGTAATCATCTCATAGGGTGATAGGATCAAAGGCTAGGGTTTAATTTCTGTGTAAATCAGTTAGAGAAGCAGCTCACTTCTCTCTGATATACGAATATACATATGAACAGTAAGAGGATATGAATAGATATCCGGCTTTCTTACAGAGCAACGTTCTCTCTTATTTCATTTGATTTCTGTGCTTTCTCCCTTCCTCCCAAACATCCAAAAACATTGAAAACTATGAATTCTAACATCAATCCTGTACTCTTGTTCCATCTTTTACTATTAGAGGCAAGATGCTCACTCTTGGACATTTACGTATCTGCATTTCCACTTCGGCATGCCTCCTAGTTGTTAATTTGAAGTATATGGTATTGCAGAATAAAAAAGAATCACTGACATTGTGCACTTTCTTTTTTCTTCCTATTTTGCAGTTGAGCTATGATCATCAGGTGCTTCTTGATTACCTTATTTCAAAAGATACCGGAATCAGTTGTGCAGAAGATTTTTTAAGGTCTTTTCTCTTTCTACACCTTCTCTTAACTTATGAAATCTAAACCGTGGTGGGCTGCATTTTTCTGGTGCCAACCTCGGTGACTAAACTATAAAACATTAACCCTCTGCTTTTACATGACTTCTTAACTAATTAGCAAAACAAGAATCAATTTGGTTGACCCCAGACAGTTGTTTTTAATTGCAACTCTTTGTATCTTTCATTTGCTTCTTACCGTCCTTAATGCATTCTCTTTTAGGTGCTTGCGTAAAGTGTGTGATTCATGGAGCTTATTTGTGGAATTTCTAGTGGGTGGGCAAGCTACAAATCAATCATTTTGCAAGAAAAGAAAAGTTTCATTGGGTGGCTCGAGTTCCTGGGGAGAGGATTCTCTTGCACCAACCAAAAATCATCTTACATTTCTTGATGATGAACCTGATGAAGAAAATGAAAATGGCTGCAAGCACACCCAAAATGGAGGACAGTATTTCAAAGAAGCCAAAGAGTGCTTACTTTCACTTAAAATTTCTATTGAAGGTCTACACCAAAAGAATCTGTTTCCCTACGATCCTAATGTTCTTCTGAACCGGTACGTCTCTTTGAAATGAGTTTCATTATGCTTCCCAGTAAACTAACGATTGCTCTTACTATTTGATTTTATTTTGAATTTACTACAGTCAACTTCTTTCTTTCACTTTTAGTTTCATTCGTTCCTCGTGATCACGACTTATCCAAACTAAACTGGTTGCTCTTTGCTTGCAGCTTGACAAGATTTCAGGAACTCTGTTTTGAGGAAGAGAAATAAACTTCTAAAAGAATGAACTTACCAGCACAGATTTTTGCAGAGCATCATTTATTCCTTTGGGTTGAAGTGATAAAATGAGATGTTGCCAACCAATGAGGCCAAGTCCCGACGAAAACTCTTTAAGTCAGGCAAGTGGGCCACAGTCAGACAATGCTGGAAAGAGTGCTTTGAGATCCTCATGACTCTTTGAGGCCATATATGGAGATTTTAAAGAAGTGAATGCACTTTGTGGATGAACGTTGTTACATTGAGCAGTGAAGGAATAGAAGAACAAGCTTTGTAGTTAAGGTAATTTAGATTCTATGTATAGAATTTCCAATTTTTTTCCTCAACAAGGATAGGCGAAGAAATCTAATTCGTAGCATAGTTAAATCCCTCACATGAAGTCAAAGTGATAAATGGTTCTGATCACATGTTCATGTTTGTTGTCTAGACCAGTAAAGCTGTTCTCCCACCTCCAGGATATTGCTAAAAAATACTCTCAAACATGAGCACCTGCTAATGCACTATACATATATTCGATATGAATAAACTATTGTCAAAGAAAATCACCTGATATTGGTGTAAATTAATTCTATCCAAACTATACCAGCTGCCAGAGACAGATAGAAAAGGACTTTACCTGATCTCAAGTCTTCCTAATCTCAATTGTCAAAGAAAACTATACCTGATATTGATGTACCCCAAGTCTTCCTTATTATCTCAAACATTCTTCTCATTTCAAAATATAAATTTCTGGTTTCTATTTCCTTGTTACTTGGCATGATGGCGACTCGGTTTAGTATAGCCGCTCGGCTTTAGTCAGTATTTTCTAAATTGTTTGTGAAATAGTATAGCCGCTCGGCTATACTCGGGTTTTTCAAAAATATTCTGGCGAATCGGAGCTCGAACTCATCACTACGAACGTCTAGGGCACAGAGCAAGCCCGTTCCAGGTTTTGAGCAGTGTTCGAGATATCGGCCTAGGCCCTGCGAGGGAGGACACCGACACCAGGGAGTTAGGGGGGGCCTAGGCGGCTCCTAGGCGGCCTGGGCGGATCTAGGCGGCTCCTAGGCGGCCTGGGAGGATCTAGGCGGCTCCTCGGCGGCCTGGGAGGATCTAGGCGGCCTGGGCTGTAGTTAATGAAGAGATGAAGCTTGAATTCGCAGTCCAATCTTCAAAATTCAAATACTCGGTCTTGAGCCTCTCTCTCAACTCAAGCTTGGATTTTTTTCCTTTGGTTTCGGCTGCTGCGTTGATTCGATTTTTTTTTGGGTGCTTTTCTGTTATTGAAGTTGGCAACGTCAGATGAACATCCAAGGCAGTTTCTTAGTATGCCAGAAGAAGCCCAGCAGATGGTTCTTTAACCTGAGGCACACCTTGCAGTTTGGCATTGGATTACACCATGTCGGTCTGAATGACAAAGATAGATCTATGGTTGAGGAGCTTTTTGCAAACAACAAGATTCAGGCATTTCTGTTTTACCTCAGTAAGCATGAGTCTTTCCCGAAAAACACATTAGGAAAAGAGAATATAAAAAGATAATTTTCTTACTCCATATACTGATTAGGCATATGTATTAAATTATAGGTATTGGTTTGTACCAGTACATTGGCATGGGGTGTAAACCTTCCAGGTCATCATCTGTTCATTATTAAGGTAAGGTAAAATTTGTGCGGTATCTTTTTCATTTGGTTCTTATATTTACAAAGGTTTCTAGCAGGAGTATATTGCAGCAGCTGTTCTTCAGGACAAATTTATGTAAGTGTTGATTCTCTTGCAGGGAACAGAATATTATGATGGGAAAACAAAGAGATGTGTTGATTTTACAATATCAATCACAGATATATTGCAAATGATGGTTTTGGTCACACATGACTACATAGAATAAAAAATGGAAAGAAAGAAATATGTGAATCAGATTACATGTTTTCATCCCTTTATAATCAACAGTTGCTCAGATTCTACAAGAAAGATGGGAGTAGATGTCCATCACAATCCGCCCGCCTAAAAATCAATAAACACAAATCATATTAGTTTCTGAATATTTGCCTAAAATATTAATACTAGGAATCAGGTTGTTTGGGGTTTTGAATATCAGAAATAAAAGACCAGTGCTAGTGCGAATTGGACATTCTGCCTTGTTTTTATTACTACATTCTACAGCTAGCATATCAGTTGATTAGTTAGAGATGTTAATCGGGGATGCTGGGCACCCTCGAATGTTGTTAGTCCATGCTTCTTTCCTGTATTGTTTATCTTGTTTTGTTTTTTTTTCCTTTGTCCTCCAAGAGAAGCTCTTCTTTTGTCTTATTTACGTAGATTTATCTGGCCTGAGGAAGGATTGGATGTGAGTTAACCAGACATTCAGAGACCCCTAAAGCATGAGAAATTATGACTTACTCATTAAAGTGTTGTTAGAAGGGCCACTTTGGAATTTAGCCATATATATTTTTGTCTGTAAGGACAATGTGCAGCACTTGCACTTAAATTATATATATACTAAAGCCCAATGCAACCAGATACTATTCATAAGCACTGTTCCTTGAACAGTGAACTGCCATAAAAACCCCCGCTTCACTGTTACGCAGCCTTATACTTTCCTAACAATACAGTAAATTGTCGATTTTACCCTTTTA